AATTCTGATTTGCTGACTTGAAGCAAGATCCCAGTAAAGACAAGAAAATTTAGTTTTCACATTGATGGAGATGCACCAAGTCCTTCAGACTTGATTGACTGAATATCTTGGGTGCCAGGGCATATAGAGATTAATACCAGAGGATATTGTGATTTTTCTGTACTTGGGGGAGCACTCTGTAACTCCCATATTCCTTATGCTTATATGATTGTGATCTTACATATACTGTAAAGCGTGCAGTGAGTGGGTTCCCTGGCTGCTGTGTAGCCTAGTGGCTAGGTCACTGAGTAAGCAGTTGAAAGGGTTAGAGGGAGGTGCTTGCCTCCCTGTTCTCTTATGTTACTGGCCCAGAAACTCAAAATGCTCGCTATCCAAGTCCTTAAATTTGGGCATGGCCCCAGAAGTCCAGATTCCCCTTAATTGGGCCTTCTCAATAGATAGGTGGTAGGTAAAGAGAGTGCTTGGGGTAGCCCTCTATGGGAGACAGCAGAGGCAAGGGCAGGTAACTCTATGGGAGTCTATACACGCAGGGAACCGGCTTAAAAGCCATATTCCTGTGTGTACTGGCTCCCATCTGCGCCCCTCATCCTCAGCATTGTTTCCTCTCTATCAGAGGCAACAGCATGGGCAGGAGCAGAAAGGAGCCGATACACGCGGGGAGCCGTCCGACCCCTTGTGTGTAAATGTGTAACTGCTGAAAAATTCAGTGATTACATGTTTACCCAAAACCACATTTGCTAACATCCCTCCTCTCATATGCAATATGCAGTTATGAGATTGTGTTGTATGGCTGTTGTTAAAATATGCAGATATTGTCTCTCTAGAGACAAGAGAAAGGAGAGGAGCCAATGCCCAGTTGGATTGTCAAACAGCTATCAGTGGCTAGTATCATTATCTCATAGATACTAGCCCTCCCCCTCACCCCTCTTCTGTTCTAAATCTGATTTGTCAGTTTTACAATGTGTTCACATGGAGACTCTAATTGACTTTCTTTCCCCTTTTTTCCTCCCTCTCTCTTCTTCCTCCCCCCCCCCAATCCCTTAATTATTTTGCAACTGGACCTTTAATAACTCTATTCATCTGAAGAAATGGGTTGTGCCCACAAAACCTCATGATACCATCTACGTGTTTTGTTAGTCTTTAAGGTGCTGCAAGACTATTTGTTGTTTGTTTTTTCCAGTTACAGACTAACTTGGCTAGCTCTTGAAGCTATTTGGTGATAGTTTGTAGTGGGATCTACCACTAGGTGCATTGTTAGCAGAGCCATCATCCTAGCTTCTCCCTCTTTCTCCCTTTTTTTCTGTTATAAATTCTGGGTCCCTCCCCCTTTTCTCATCTGAAGAAGTGGCTTTTGCCATGAAAGTTATATATATTTTGACTAAGGACTACTCATTTTTTATACTAGTGACAGCATTAGCCCACTATAAGTATATAGAAATGTAATCCATATGTGGATCTAATTTTGTAGGCACACCCATGATTTTAACTTTTTATATTAAAGTATGTGGCAGCCAGTGGTTTCCTCTTTTTTTTGTGAGATGGGGGGATATTATTTCAGGAAGCATGTAAATTAAAATGTAACAATTAAGGTAGGTAAAAATCTGGAGCCTGGTGAGTTGACAGTACTTCTTTAAAAACCTTGACCTTTTATGAGGATATGTTTGCAAAGTATAAGAAAGAGAAGAAACTCGCATTTCAAATTTGATAAGAAAAAGTTAACAAAAGCAATACTCATAACTTACTTTTAAGGGAATAATTTATAATTCTCTCTTTTTTTATATGTAATTTTTCTTTAGGTAACATTTCAATAATTGCATTACCAGTTTCCAGCACCAATTCACCAGCCAAGATTTTGCCAAAAACCTTAGGACCAATAAACGTGAATGTTGGACCCCAAATGGTAAGTACTCAAAACTCTGGGCAACATTGCATTGTATAACTATGTGACCTATTGTCTGTTTGAGCACATACAAAGTTTAAAAGTGAAGATACAAACTACCACTGCAGCTTTCTTTTCCAGCCATAAATGCTATTAAATAGATATAAGTGCTTCTCCTTGTATCCACAGGTAATGAAGTAGAAATAGTGTTCTTGGCACTTTAACACCATTCCCATATGCTCTGTATGGGCATATTTATATTTCTAGAATGAGTGGAGGCTGCTCATGCAAAAATATTCAGCTACTTCTATTACAGGGTAGTTATCCTTTAATTAAAATCATATTGAAACATTTCCCCCCGGCAGAACATTGCCTCTGCTGTTCAATATTTTGCATGTTATGTTCCCTCCTTACAAAAGGCAAGAGTGTGCTTGGAATTCTGCTATGTGCCTACAATTTCAACTTGTTATATCTATAAAAGCGAAAAAATGGTCTGCTACTTGCTATGCTAGTTAAGCAGTGTATGGCACTAGTTCAAGAGATTATATTTTGAGAACTATTTTAGGCAACAGGCCAATTTCTTAATGGATAGCACAGTAGTAGTCTTGCATATATAGACTAGACATTGTAGTAAACTATTGCTTAGAATACATGGCCCATGTACAAGAGCCATCCAAGGCATTGTACAGGAATGTGTTGTAATGATTGTTGTTCGAGGAGCATCCCCATGAGTGCTCTACCTTATGTGCATCAGCGCCTCTGCGCACACCAGTCAGAGATGGTTAGTAGCAGTGGCCCCCGGCTGGCCATGCACGCTGGGCTATGGCGCAAGATGCCTAGTGTGTGTGTAATGCCATGTGTGGCCACCTGGCTCCTCAGTTCTTCTCTGACCACCACCAGCTTTGGTTGCAGATCAGCAGTTGCCCTCGCATTCAACCTTCTCCATCCTTTCAGCTTCTCAGCTAGCCTTAACTTTACCTAATAACCAACTAACGGACGCTATTCACTTGAGGGGAGGAAAAAAACCCCCACAAGGATCTCTGTCAGGCAGTGTTCCCACCGCCTCCCATGGCTCCGCTTTAATAGCTGTTACTGTTGTTCAAAATATTACTCAGGTCATGCCCAGCTCCTTTAAAAAGTGTCTGGGCTGTGGCCTTTCTATAGCTGTAGCAAACGGGCACTCTTTGTGTGTTGGCTGTCTGGGACAAGACCATAATACAGAGTGCTGTCAGGACTGCAAGAAACTAAGCGCACAAAGAGAGCCAGGCAGCTACAACTATGTGTGTTGCAGATGGAGACATTACTGAAGCCTCCTTCAGATGCTCCCCTAACCTCTCCACAGGCATAGCCCACCAGGGGCAGAGGTGAGAGGGCTATTCCAGGTAAAAGCCCGAGCACCAAACTGAAGTCTCCCTCAGTGTGGAAGAGGTCTCAGACTTCCTCCAGGTCTACATCCCCGGCAAGGAAAGTGACAAATTCAGCACTTGACACTGCTGCCCCTACACCATCCAAGGGGGACAGTTACAAGTTCAGGTTCTGGCTCCCATAAAAGCTGCAACCACAAACAGGGACCGTGTCCCTCCTCACGCAGCTAGGCCAATGTATAAAGTCACCACTTCGGCACCAGCTAAAACGTTGGCAGGAAAAAAAGTGGGACCCGACAACCCTGAGATCTACGGTGGCACTGTCAGCCCGCTGAACAGTTGGCACCAACCAACCATCTCAGTGCCTTATGTACTCCCGCCACCAACCCCTCACAGTGCTATGCCACCAATGGGCCCGCCTCTTGTGTTTCTGCAGTTCACCACAGCAGCGGAGCGCTCTGTAGCCTCGGTTCCAGGAACCCCGTTTTTCTGCACCAATGGTACCCCAGCTGGTTCTAAGTCCTCATTTTCCTCTACTCCTGGGGCTTTATCACCATGATTCAGTGACTCTGAGGAGGAAGACTTAGCTCAACCTACTCTACCTAAGAAATCCTTACCAAAACCGGTACACCCCCAACAGTGCCAACAGCACTGGGGACCACCATTCATGCCACTACGTTCAGACAACAGCCTATTCTCCAAGTGGGCATCATTACCATACATCTGCCAAACCTAAACCACCTAGGTCACACTGGCTGGACAGGTCTGAATTCTCTGAATGCAAAGACGACATGGAGACCGCAGGGATGGAACAGCCCTCACCTATACATTCTTCTCCATCCTTGTCGGCAGATACATTTACATCTCCATTAACTACAGGTGCGGGGGGTGATTTTAAGTCCTTTCAGGATCTTTTTAAGAGGATAAGTGACAAACTGGAAATATCCCTCTCCGATCCTCCGGATACACAGGATAAGTTAACAAACATCCTTCATGACTCAGTGCAAACCAGACTCTCTATACCCATGAATGAGGCACTGATAGACCCAGCTAAGTTTCTATGGAAAACTCCAGCAACAATCCCACCAACATCAAAGAGACTTGATTGAAAATATTATGTCGCCCCACAGGGTATGACATTTCTTTTCACCCACTCTCCTCTGAACTCGCTTATAGTAGAAGCTTCAAACTAAAGAGGTAAGCAGCAGGCCATGCAGTCAACCCTTTACGACAAAGAATGGAAGAGGCTTAATGCCATGGGCAAGAGAGCATATTCCTCTGCCAGTCTCCAACTATGCATCACCAATTACGTAGCGCTTCTTTCCAAATATACACATTATATCTTTGATCAACTGTTGACTTTTATTGATATTCAGACAACAAAAGAGAACAATACAAAGCTCTGATGAATAGAGGAAGCCATGTTAGTCTGATTTTGCTTAAAAAAAAAAAGGAAAATCTGTGTAGGTAGCACTTTAAAGACTAACAAGATGGTGTAACAGATGATGAGCTTTCGTGGACCAGACCCACTTCCTCAGATCATATTCTGGAAGAGAATTGCAATAGAATATGATCTGAGGAAGTGGGTCTGGCCCACGAAAGCTCATCACCTGTTAAACCATTTTGTTAGTCTTTAAAGTGCTATATAGTTTTTCCTTAGGTTTTGGCAAGCTCTGATGAAGGAGGGCTCCCTAATCTCTAGAATTGTGCTTCAGTCTGCCCTCAATTCTGCAGATACAGCCTCCAGATCTCTGGCATTCGCAGTGGTCTTGAGACATGCATCCTGGCTCCAACTCTCAGATTTTCCTAAAGAAGTCCAGACCACAGTTGAAGACCTTCTGTTTGAGACATCCCAAATCTTCACAGACACCATGAATATCTCTCTTCATTCCGTGTAAGATTCCCATGTCACTCTCCGAACGCTTGGCATCCAACCTCCTGCCAATAGGAGGAAGCAGAATGGACAATTTAACTACAGATACAAACCGATGCCTTTCAACCACACTAGGTAATATAATAACAAACAATGTTCAAGACAACCCAAACGTAGACCATCATCAGAACAGCCCATCACTCAACAGGCTCCAGCACATCAATCATTGTGAAGCCTTGGTCAAGGGTTGGACAGCCCCCATACAATCCAAGCCTTATATTATATTTGGCTCCAGACTAGCAGCATTCTGTCCTGCCTGGCAATCAATTACAACTGACAAACGGGTTCTTGAGATCATTAACATGGGCTACATAATTTCCTTTACCTCCAACTTCCCACCTACAACCACCATCCCCATCCCCCTTCCGGAACCCCTCTCATGAGATGGTGCTCATGCAAGAGGCACATAGTCTCCTGCAGTTGGGGGCCATAGAAGAGGTACCCTTTGAGCAGAGAGGAAAAGGGTTTTATCTTTACTATTTCCTCTCAAAAAAGAAAATTGTGCGGGGTTGGAGACCTATACTAGATCTCAGGACATTCACTCGGTATGTCCAATACCAGCAATTCAAAATAACTCTCACTACAGTCATACTCGCCCTCAAGAAAGGATATTGGCTGTCCACCCTCAACCTTCAGGATGCTTAGTTCCACATTGCAATATACCCCTCACACAGACAATTTCTCAGGTTCACAGTGGTGAACAAACATTTCCAATACAGAGTACTGCCCTTCGGCCTATCAGAGTATTCTCAGAGGTGTTAGTAGTGGTCTCTGCCCACCTCAGAACAAGGGGAATCACCATCTTTGCCTACTTCGATGACTGCCTCATAAAGGGGCAATCCCTTCATCATACACAACAGACACTGACATTTACCAGGGCTCTTTTCAACAGGCTCGGGCTATGCATGAACCCAGCAAAGTGTGTCTTGCACCCGACAGACGCTAGACTTCATGGGGCTCACCTGGACTGTGAAACAGCAATAGCTTTACTCCCACAGCCCAGAGTCACAGCAATCCAGGACCTAGAACCAAAGAGCTGGAAGAGACCTCAGAAGGTCATCAAGTCCAGCCCCCTGCTCTAGGCAGGCCCAATCCCAACTAAATCAACCCAGCCAGGGCTTTGTCAAGCCGAGACTTAAACACCTCTAGGGATGGAGACTCCACTACTTCCCTAGGTAACCCATTCCAGTGCTTCACCACCCTCCTAGTGAAATAGTTTTTCCTAATATCCAACCTGGACCTCTCCCACCACAACTTGAGACCATTGCTCCTTGATCTGCCATCTGTCACTACAGTGTACAGCCTCTCTCCATCCTCTTTGGATCCCCCCTTCAGGAAGTTGAAGGCTGCTATCAAATCCCCCCCCTCACTCTTTGGTTCTGCAGACTAAACAGACCCAACTCCCTCAGCTTCTCCTCATAGGTCATATGCTCCAGCCCCCTAATCATTTTGGTTGCCCTCTGCTGGACTCTCTCCAATGCATCCACATCCTTTTTGTAGTTTGGGAGGTGAGAGGCTCCTCAATGACATTTGCCAACTCCCTCAGTACCCTCGGATGCATTAAGTCCAGACCCATGGATTTGTGTATGTTTAGCTTTTCTAAATAGTTCCTAACCTGTTCTTTACCCACCAAGGGCTGTCCATCTTCATGCCATCTTGCATCACTTAGCACATTAGTCCGGGAGCCCACCTTGTCTGTGAATACAGAGGCAAAGAAAGCATTC